CACAACAGGAAACTGCGTTCAAGACAATCAAGACATGTTTATCAACACAGCCAGTTCTTGGGTATGCGGATTACACCAAGCCATTCGAAGTCCACACTGATGCAAGTAGCCAAGGACTGGGAGCTGTCTTGTACCAAGAACAGAATGGATTGAAGAAGGTCATCAGTTATGCAAGCTGTGGACTGAGCAAGGCAGAGAGCAACTATTCAGCTCACCGTCTCGAATTTCTAGCTTTGAAATGGGCGGTGACTGAAGAGTTCAAGGATTATCTGTATGGCAATACTTTCAGTGTATATACAGATAATAACCCTCTGACCTATGTACTCAGTTCTGCAAAGTTGGATGCTACAGGTCACCGCTGGCTAGCGGCCTTGTCAGCATACAACTTTGATATAATCTACAGGCCAGGGCTCAACAACGCAGACGCTGATGGACTCTCCAGGCTGCCTGGAATAGAAGCTGAAAGACAACAGATAACATCAGAGTCAATAAGAGCTGTTTGTCACACTTTGCAGGAACATCCTTTGGTACACAGCCTCTGTTGTTCAGCAGCACCAGATTTAGAAAGCCTAGAAGATCATGGAGAGAACCTTAAAGTGATGACAGACAGGGACTGGAGAAAGGCACAAGCTGCAGATGTCATTCTTAGGCCATGGATTAACTTGGTGAGAAGTAACAGGAAGCCAAGACGACAGGATTATCCCCCTTGTCAAGCCAATACCTCCATGCATAGGAACTTTGACAGCATGTTTCTTCAAGAAGGAATCCTTTACAGGAAAGTTAATATTAACGGCCAAGAACGACATCAGCGTGTTTTACCATCAGCCTTGATTGAGGATATGCTCAGAGGACTTCATGATGAAGTTGGACACCCTGGAAGAGAGAGGACACTGTCACTCCTAAGAGATCGGTTCTTTTGGCCAGGCATGACCAACGACGTGGAAGATTGGATCCAAAGATGTGACAGATGTTTGAGAAGGAAATCCCCCGCCAATGCACGTGCTCCTCTGGTCAACATCATCACCACACAGCCCTTAGAGCTCGTCTGTCTGGATTTTCTAACCTTGGAAGCATCAAAGGGAGGTCACCAGAATATTCTAGTCATCACAGACCACTTTACGAGGTATGCACAAGCAATCCCAACAAGGAATCAGACTGCAAAAACAACAGCAGAAGCCTTCTACAAGAACTTTATAATGCACTATGGGATTCCAAAGCGCATCCACAGTGATCAAGGCACCAACTTTGAGAGCCGCCTTATGAAGGAATTGTGCAGCCTCTTGGGAATGGAGAAAAGCCGGACAACATCCTATCACCCTATGGGCAATGGTATGGTTGAACGCTTCAACCGGACACTGCTTAATATGTTGGGAACACTCCAACCAGACCAGAAAGCAGATTGGAAGACCTATGTAGCTCCCCTTGTCCACGCCTATAACAGCATCCGGCATGAATCAACAAACCAGTCTCCATTCTTCCTTATGTTTGGTCGTGAACCTCGTCTGCCTGTAGATCTTGCTTTTGGGATCGAGACCAACAAGAATCATCAGTCTCTGACAGCTTATGCAAAGTCTCTGAAGAAGAAGCTCCAAGAAGCCTATGACCTGGCGTCAAAGGCATCAAAGACTGCCCAAGTCAAACAGAAAGCCAGCTACGACTTGAAGACTAGAGGGGCCACTGTACAGACAGGTGATCGAGTTCTGGTGAAAGCCTTAGCCTTTGATGGTAAGCACAAGTTGGCAGATCGCTGGGAGGAAGATCCTTATGTTGTTCTCTTGCAACCAAACCAGGATATCCCTGTGTTTGTAGTGCAGAGAGAATCTGGTGAAGGGAGGAAGAGGACGTTGCACAGAAACCATCTCCTGCCCATTGGATCAGTACCAGCGATCATGGATAACAACAGAGTACCAGCAGCCAAGAAGCCAACTCCAAGACCAAGAAAGACAGTGAAGAAGACTATAGAAGAGGATATCTAGGAGGATAAAGAGTCTGACTATGATGCTCCATTCTATTTTCCAGCAGTTGCTGAGGATGCTACCATCATCAGTGAAGACACTGTGGAAGAGAGTGCGGCTACTTCAGAGACAACAGGTGACGATCTACAGTCTCTTGGAGTAGCAGGTGATGCTTCTGGTGGTGACGACCACATACCTGAAGAAGACAGCAGCACAGAAGCAGATCCTGAAGCAGTGCAACCACCAGAAAACACTGAAGAGGAGCCGGAAGACTCAGTCAGAGAAGAGCTACCTCCTCCTGTACCACCTGATACTAATCCCCAACCCATACCTGCACCAAGAAGAACTGGTAGACTAACAAGGAAGCCTGCCTGGCAAACCTCCGGAGATTATGTGATGTGCCAGACTTCTGACCCAGATTGGCAGCAGAGGAGTCGACGCCTGGAACAACTGGCAGCGACCGGCATTTTAGGACACATCAGCACCAGCATCTCCAAGGCATTGCTTTCCCTTGTTGACGAAGAACCGGAATGACGAGGACGCCATTATTCAAGGGAGAGAAGTATGTGACAGGATCAGATAATTGTATATATTTTCAGAGTTTTATTAGTTTAGATTTTTACTGAATTAAATATTCAGTCAAATATGTTTTAAACATTATATACTTCACACTTCAGCTCTCCTAATTCTCTGTTTCAGCTTACTGCATGAGTACTTTGCCACAGCCTCAATCACCTAGTGCACTATCACACAATAGCCTGCCCAAGCGCGCCCCTCAAAGCCCCTTTGTGTTTCAGGTTCTAGCTTACTGTCTCCAGTTTTAAAGGGTTTAGTTTTACTACAGTTTAGAGCACATTTGATGTTACTGTCAAACACACGTATATCATTGGAATTCACAATTTGGACAATTTGGACTAATTGTGGTGTTTGATCTATTGGACATTTTGGAATTCACTTCTAAAGGTTGGTCTTTTGATGATATTTTATTGTTTGTGCGTATTCCTAGGATTTGTAGGTATATTGTGTTTATGCTCTTGATAATTTGGCTGTTTTGGTCATGTTGTAAATATTCGCCAGATCATAGTAATTAGTTGTATTTCTGTATGCATTACAAGTGTTATTATTTACGTAAGGTAAATAATTCAGTAAGTGCTAAGTTTAGGCTTAAAATACTATTTAACTAAATCTTCAATCAATGTGAAGCTGATGTATGAAAGTATGAAGTATGAAAGTAAGAATGTGAAACATATATGTTGCTAGGTAACATATTGGTATAAATGAATGTGTAATGTATGAATGTATAATGTATGAATGAATCAGGGTTTTACTATTATATTTTAGAATTGTTTTAAGTTACTCTGCAATAACACTATGTTTCGGTTTGTAGTAATATTGCTGCTATCAGATTGGTCTGCACAGTGTGTATATATATTCATTTATTTGTCGTGCAGATGTAGCTGTAATACTTGTGCAGAGGTCTGTGTCTGGACTGATGAACCCAGGTCCACACACTTGGTGGGTTTACTAGGTTTTATATATATTCTCATGTATTGCATAATGTATGTACACATAGTAAATGTATCATATCACGTCTATCTTACTCTATTATATGATACACATATATAAGTATATATGCGGGTTAAGTAGGTTTATAATATAAGATTAATTAAGTTTTTGATGAGATGTAAGTTTATCAATTAGTAGTTATAGCATTTTGTATATATCATCAAATGTAATGAAATATTTGATGTCAGCATATGTTTATATTTTGTGTAATGAATGTTTTACAATTGTTTCAGGGTTCAAAACATTTATCAGTAATAAACTTGGCTATAATTCGAACAACAGCTGCGTCTGTCCTTCATGTCAAGAAGCAGTCCCGGTTTCACACACATTGGCAACGCGTGACACACAGACCACCGCCTGGAAGTTCATTACCCTTACACACATGGGCAACGCGTTACACACAGACCACCGCCTGGAAGATCATTCTCCTTACACACATGGGCAACGCGTTACACACAGACCACCGCCTGGAAGTTCATTACCCTTACACCCATGGGCAACGCGTTACACACCCCGTGTGCACCGCGTTGATCACTCGTGTGGAACCTGACCGCCACGCGTGTGCAACGCGTGACACACGAATTTCGGAGAGAACAAACCTTTGACCAAAGGAGGACCAATGTTCAGTTGAAATTAGGGGTAGTTTTGTTAGGTTTTGTTTTGTTTGTTGTTTAACGCCGCAATCCAGCAATATTCCAGCTTTATGACGGCGGTCCGTAAATAATCCAGTCTGGACCAGACAATCCAGTCATGATATCATGAGCATCGATCCACGCAATTGGGAAACGATGACATGCATCAACCAGGTGAGCGAGCCCGACCAACCGATCCCGTTAGTCGCCTCTTATGACAAGCATAGTCCCCTGTTACGGCAAGCATGGGCTGCTGAAGACCTATTCTACCCAGGATCTTCACGGGTCTACACTTTAGACGATTCACCAATAACCAGGGGAATGGTAAACAGGTCATAGGTTTATGCTGTGGAAGATTGACGACGCTGTTACATAAGTAATTGTTACACATATATAATTAAGATCCCTGAAAAAGGGCAATTTCTGTTTTGAGCACATGAAGTTAATAAGACGTGTTTTTTTGTACTTAGGATCAAGCAACAGTTACTGTATATTAACATTTACTTTGAAACTTGTGTTTTTGCTTTTGCGTCAATAGATATTTCATGAAGCCCTTTTTGGGGGTATCATGGCACCGTTGAGCACCCGTGTCACAGGCGTGTTACACGCGTTCTTAACGCGTGAAAGGGGAATGAACTTCTAGGCAGTGGTCTAGTTGTGATGTCACTAAAATACAAAGGTGACGTGAACCGATTTTAACTATCCGAACTAAACCATCGAGTGTTGCAGGGGAACTGTGTACAAACGGTGAAAGTGAATTTATAATATTATGAAAAACGCTTCGACATGAAAACACCACAATATCAAATAGATGCATATTCTCACTATACATGTACATATAACTTACCCCGCGTGTAGCGCGTTGCGGGAAAAAAATCCAAATAGGTCAAAGCTTCCCCAACAGACTGCGGCAATTGCTGTTTGTCTCAGCTTGCAGCAGTACATGGATCCCTGAATTATGTATCTAACAATCACAAACTCATTATGTGTAATAGGGTTACAATTTTGAATACGAAATGGCAAAGGTGAATGAATACATTGCAGTCTCACTATTCCTACTCAACAACGCAATTACTTTGATATTACCAACTGCATAATAGCCATGATGGTATGATTTACATGGCTTTACAAAGTGATCAATCATCTGACTCTGTACACCACACATGCCAAGACATCAGTGTAGCTTCCTGCAGCTTTAGTTATATTGGGGTCAAAGGGAAAGACTAATTTCACATATTTCCTTCGCCTTCAAAATGTTGTATATCACACAGGGTTGGAATGGCATTTCAAGATTACTCGTGTCAACACGACACAAATTGCTAGGCAGAATTTGAATGGGTTCAAGTTCATTGGCGCGCCTTGGGTATTGGAATTTGGTTTGTCTATTTGCTATCTGCAACTTTGTTATGAGATAATTAAGGAAATGCTTTACTGCCCCTGAGGGTATTCTATTTGATAGATATTCATAAACACATGTTTATATTACACTGAGAAAAAAGTTGAGTGAATTCTACTAACTCAGTCACAGCGGCCAGATGAGTAGTAACAACGAATTTACTACCCTGCCTGGTAGATTGCACGAAGATGCTGACGATTAGTAAAATAAACTAGTGTAATGCACTACTTAAACCACAGCGTAGAATGTGTTAAGAATGTAAACACTTACAAGACATGTTGGGGAATGTGTTTCATTCCCCCGGGGTATACACATTTAGTGTGTTCTGTCTAAACACGTTCAAGTTTAGTGTCTAAACACATGAAATGAGCTATCGACTCATTGCCTAAACACCACCTCAACGCAACATCCCCACAATCGAGATAAGATAAAATTTAAACACATGTAAACATGTTTAGAATGTAAACACCTTTAGACATGTTTAGAATTAAATACATTTAAACATGTTTAGAATGTAAATACCTTTAAATATGTTTAGAATGTAATTACCTTTAATTATGTTTAGAATTTTAAATACCCTTAAATATGTTTAAAATGTAAACACCTTTAAATATGTTCAGAGTGTAAATACCTTTAAATATGTTTAGAATTTAAATACCTTTAAATATGTTAAGAATGTAAATACCTTTAAACATGTTTAGAATGTAAATACCTTTAAAAATGTTTAGAATGTAAATACCTTAAAACATGTTTAGAATGTAAATACCTTTAAATATGTTTAGAATGTAAATACCTTTAAACATGTTTAGAATGTAAATACCTTTAAATATGTTTAGAATGTAAACACCTTTAAACATGTGTACAATTTAAATACCTTAAAACATGTTTAGAATTTAAACATGTTTAATTAAGTGCATTTTATCAGGCTATAAGTCAAATATGGATAAGATTTATAATATATATTGAAATTGGATGTGCAAAACAGATTCACAGACACTTTCATAGCACATGTACCACCAGGAATTACAACGAACTTGGCAACGAACAATATTGAGCTAATGGTGACCCGAACATTGACACTTGTGACGACAAAAGTCTCCGTGGCACAGGTAGAGTGAATGAAAGCAAATCAAGAGGTTGTGGCAATAAATGGGCTGTTGCTGTATGCCGAATAGTATTTCTCTCATACAGGAAGCTGACAATGAAAGTATGTCTAATAACTACTAAACCTTCATTAGTTAGTGACGACAGACCACCTGGTAAAAAAATACTTACTGATTGGTTGAGTCTACTAAAATGTCAGTGTCTGAGTGTACAGTGAAATTCTCTATTAAAATTTACAAACTATTTCTGTAACTGTATATTCGGCACAATCGACTCTTTTAGCAGAGATTTCTGATGAATATTACAGGGTTTCATCGCCTTTATTGTACAACAAAGGAGTTCGATGCATGTGACATTGTTAGCGCGAACACATAAAATGACGATAAGCACATCAGAGCAGAATAAATACCAACAAGGCGGCAATATAAAAAGGTGGACATTGAGTGGCTGTAAACAAACGGAAGAAGAGCAATACAAAGATGAGGAACAGAAATGTTGAATGAAAGAGGAAACACAAAACTCGCTCAGCGTTGGTTTTTAAAAGTATAATGTTATTTGACATGTAGACTACTTGAAATGTAGTAGCAATGACGTATATGATCTGATGTGGAGTGAAACCGGAACAATATACCCTCATCATGGCAACAGACAGTTTTGTGATAAGGGTCCGATCATTTTTATTGCTGTAATTCAAGCTCTTTACAGCATACGGCGTTGAGTAACGTACATTGACGCTGACCTTTGGTGCACGTGATGCACAGAGCATGGGAGACAACGAACAAACGCTTCGCAATCTCTGTTGGCGATTAAATCAACTTGGGTCAATTGGTATCCTCTGTGTGGCCGTGTACCCCCAGTATACGGTTTGATGTACCCTCTGTGTGGCCATGTACCCGAGTATACAGTCTGATGTACCCTCTGTGTGGCCATGTTTCCGAGTATATGGTCTGATGTACCCTCTGTGTGGCCATGTACCCGAGTATACGGTCTGATGTACCCTCTGTGTGTCCATATTCCCCCAGTATACAGTCTGATGTACCCTCTGTGTGTCCATATTCCCCGAGTATACAGTCTGATGTACCCCCTCTGTGGCCATGTACCCGAGTTTACGGTCTGATGTACCCTCTGTGTGGCCATGTACCCGAGTATACGGTCTGATGTACCCTCTGTGTGTCCATGTACCCCGAGTATACAGTCTGATGTACCCTCTGTGTGGCCATGTACCCGGAATTTACGGTCTGATGTACCCTCTGTGTGGCAATGTACCCGAGTATACGGTCTGATGTACCCTCTGTGTGTCCATATTCCCCGAGTATACAGTCTGATGTACCCTCTGTGTGTCCATATTCCCCGAGTATACAGTCTGATGTACCCTCTCTGTGGCCATGTACCCGAGTTTACGGTCTGATGTACCCTCTGTGTGTCCATGTACCCGAGTATACGGTCTGATGTACCCTCTGTGTGTCCATGTACTCGAGTATACGGTCTGATGTACCCTCTGTGTGGCCATGTACCTCCAGTATACGGTCTGATGTACCCTCACTGTCATCTTTTTTTTAGAAGTGAAAAGAACTTACTCGATGACATAAAATATGTTACGGTAAGAAATTTTCCAATTTATGGTTATTAACTTCTTTATTTTACTGTGATGGCGACGTTTCGGTATAGATCATTTAACAGTTGTCAAGCATTGCTGAAAAATAAACATTGTATAGAATATATATGGTAGGTGGAAGATTAACAGTAACAACAATTGCATACATGAGAGAGATTAACAGGAGTAGGTTAAAAAATAACAGAAGGATAATGCTGTAACATCATGATGGACAGAGAACACATGATGAGGAAGCCGATAAACAGGAAGTCAATTATACAGGATTAAGTACACATAGATGGGGTGATTATTGCTTAATGAGTTCATAGTAGGCGGATGTATGATCGATTACCTGCACCACCAGATCTGTGACATGCTTGCTAAAGCCGAACCACAAACCAAAACTTTGAAGTTAGCCAAGTACTTCACAACAAACTCTCCATCAGCCATCCCAACCACCCTATGCCAGAGCCAACATCAAGATCCACAAGAACCCTCCTAAAGCTCGTCTACCTGGTGGCGCAGGTAATCGATCTTACCCCATAGTGCGAGTTGATGGAGACCCTCTCGAATTTAGTGATGAGGACATCATGGTTCAGTGGTGGTCTGGTAGGGATGTACTTTGGACAGGACGTTGGTCTGATCTGTGGTGAGTTTCTTGACTGAGGTTGACAATTGTGGTTTGGAATGCGACGTGGGAACAGAAAAAATAGAACAATAGAAACTTGAAGTAGAAGGTGTGCAAGCAAGAAGTCCCAAAGAAATCTGTAACACCATGGCAGGTCACATGAAGCAGGTATCAAGTGACGAAGATGAGGCTCACTTTGATCTAGAGTTTAGGAGGCACATTGGGGCACAAGTGAAAAGGATAGACATACAGAGTACAAATGGGGAAATAACATCAATATGCAAAACACTCAAACGCAACTAGGCTGCATGGATGGACAATATCTTCAATATGGTGGAACGTACCTTACAAAGTGTTTTTCAGAACTCTTTAACCGAGTTATTACCACTGGATATATTCCTGCCCAATGGAAAAGAGGCTATCATACCGATATTCAAGGGAGGCAACAAGTCTCGGGTGTTGCCGGATTCCTATCGGGGGGGTAACCTTGCCGGTTTCTCAAGGTGTTTGAAGTACTTGAAGTAGAAGAATAATGCAGCTCGCCCACACTATACATCATTTCCATGTATACAACAATGTGGTTTCCTGAAAGGCCTTTCCTCCAGTGACACTTCCTTTATTTTCTAGAATCAATACTTCATCATACAGAACGATGGAACGCCATCGATGTGGCCTTTCTAGACAGTTCGAAAGCGTTTGATACAGTATGGCACCAAGGACGTTTATACAAACTGTATCATCTTGGAAACCCAGATGGATTTTGGAGGATATATGACAACAGCTACAAGTCCATCGAGAGCAGCGTCCTTGTTAATAACACAAGATAGATAGAGATCAAGAGACGTTCGAGAAAGGAAGACGGCAAAACTCTACCTGCTATACACAGATGAACCGTAACAGAAACTTTCCACAAGCAAACTTGGTGCCGTTGTCTTGGATATCCATGTAATGGCACCCACTCAAGCGGACGACATAGCAATTCTTGGTCCAGTATATTGCTTTCTCTCCCTCCAAGAGCCAGATTATCAGATTTAGTGACAGGAAAGCAGTTGCTTCTAGCGTTGTGCTCCATGGACGTGATATCACAGTGGCAAATGAGCTTAAGCACGTTGCTATTATATTGAACTCGAATTTAACTCATGGGAGGCCATGCCACTCATTGAATCGGGACTGAATAAACGCGCTCTAAATCCCGTTACAAGTTCAAAACATATTCGGGCAATG